TACCCTAACAAACCGCCCGCGGCCGCGCGCCAGACACAAAAATTATATTTGCCAAAAACGATATTACAATTTAATTTTACAATATACTTTAAGGAATATTAAGACACTATTTGGGAGGGATTAATTTATATAAAACATTGCGGTTAAATTTTAAAAATGTATTGGACACTATACTATTGTTTATTATTTTTTCCCTCAAGTTTTTCATAATGAAAAAAATGGCATCGTATTTTAATTCAAATAACTTCCTCTAATGGTTGTATCTAGGTCGTACTTTAAAGAGGTGATCAGGGTGAATTTTGGTCTTGCAAAGTACATGTCGGGGAAGATGGATTTTACAAAAACTGTTTCAGTGAAGGGTTATATAAACTATAAGAACTTTAGTTTTCCGAAACGGAAAGTCGAAAACCTCACAAATATTGTTTCATGTCATTCAGTTATTATTTTCAGAGACTAAGGAATTTAGACATTTACAAATTCTTAAATAGTATAATCACTATTCCCCAGTGAACAAAAAATTACATAAACTTGTTTCAGGAGATGTAATTGACTTTTTTCAGTTTTATCGAGATCTGAAAATGTAAGATGTAGGGAACTATGACGAAGAAATCTTACTCTCTACCTTAATTTAAACGTAATGCACCGCATGATTAACGTAAATTGTCGGTTAAATTTACATTGCGTACTCATCACAATCATAACAAATACTGGAAGTGATGACTCATTTACTAGTTTCCTAGTGATTTCGTTGCTATCAACATAAATCCAATTTGTAATAGCAATTGCTGATCCAGCTCGGTGCAGGGAGACTTTTCTGGCGCAGGTTACTTGATTGTATCTTGTTATACCACATAAGTAAAATCATTCTATGTAGCTGTTGTACCTTGTTTGCGTAGAAAACTTTATTTTCTATTTTTAGCTCATTGTAATCGCTTGTTATTAACTTCCCTTAGTTCATTTTAATTTTCGTAATTTAATATTTTATAGGAGTTTAGTTAAAGTTCCCCATCACATAGTAAACTTAGCCTAAATCCTTGTAAAAAAACGTATTAGGCTAATGGGCAAAACTTGATCCAGACATCCAAATCGGCAAGAGATATTATATAAAAGTAGTTATTGTTCTTTTTAACATTAGTTATTGGTGTACTATTTAACAATAAGGAAAATAGCCAAGACGAAATTGAGAGACGAATAAGCTCGGGGAGAAACGTGACACGCAGTATAAACTCTGCCTTATGGAACAAAACCATCACTACCACTACTAAAAGACGTCTTTACGCCTCGCTAGTTAAGAGTGTTACAACATACGGTTCAGAAGTTTGGAAGATTGATAAAAGAACAAAAGGGAAGCTGCTGGCCCTTGAAATGGACTTCTGGCGTAGAAGTTGCTATTATAGCAGACGTGTAGCATATATATGTATTGTTGTTCTTGATGTACTATGTACCAACCCATGTTTTTCTGACTATGATGAGTGGGGGAAAGAGGATAGGGCCACTCGACCCTCACCCAACTCTGCTGCCGCTTGCGGCCACCCTGCAAGAAAGCTTATTTCCATAAACCATAATAATAACTTTCTGTTGCAGTTCTACTGGTCCAGTTTGGAATGCTTGCGTCATTCTTTTGGTTGAATGTCCTGTGTATTGACATTGCGTGGTCTTTCAGGTAATGTTGAAGTTCTCAATATTTTAACGTAATTTATCCCCTATGAATTATATTATTATTATTATTATTATTATTATTATTATTATTATTAAACAGATTCGTCAAGGACACAGGCCTACTGTTTGTGCAGAAGGTATTGAAATGTAATTGTTTTCTTAAAATCTGTCCTCGCAGAAATACAGCCATAATACTAATATCTATGCATAAAAATGCAAAGATACATAAAAATACAGACAGGCATAAAAAACTATATCAATGCATTGTTATTCAGCAAAACGTTTAAAGGAACAATGTAATTTAAGTAATATACCATTAACAGAAAAATAATTTGTTGCTTAATGTAGAAACAATTTGTTGTAATATAAATCCTAATCAGCTGCACATACGGTTTATTCATTCAGGAAATATACGAGTATTAATAGGAATTAATAGACATTGTATCTAAAAAAACCCGAGTTTTAAAAGCAACGTCCACCTTAAATGTCAATACGTGCTCTAATTCAAACGTTATTCCTGTTTTTGACTCAGATGTGTACACTACGAAACTGAAGTCACAACTTTTAATCTAGTCTCAAAACAAAGTGAGTGTTTATTTTGATTGAGTTTCAACTATCGGCAAACCTGCCCATCAAACACGAACTCTCCGAATACACATTTAAAGCTCTTAATCTTTCACTCAGACCCTATTTATATGTCTTAAGAGGCAAATGAAGAATGGCCAATGTCCCACAGCCATTTGTCATCGCGGCCGTCTACAGGTGTCCCCGGCAGTCATGGAGAATTATTTTAGTGATGATGATTTATTAAAATATAATGTGATGAGTGATGTTCACGGGAGCGGAGTTGGAGGTGAAAGTGAAAGGGAAGTAAAACTTGAAGAACTTGTGACGCGAACTGAGTTTAAAACATTCACTGAGATCGGAAACCGGAAATCTGTTGCAAATGCATAGCAACCGCATCCGTTTCCTACTGCATCTATCGCTTTGTCCGCCACGACGTCATATAGGAGCGACTGCTATTTGAACGCATATCGGAAAAGCTAGTGCACTTACAGTACTTCCTCTCTACTGTTCGCTGCGTTCTGTTCGTGTTTTGAGGTACTTCCAAAGGGAACATGCAGGGGCCTATCCTAGTGACACCATTGTAGGGGTGGCACCGACAAGTGTAGTTTAAATATAATAATTAGAATTGTTTATTTGAAAAGGTCCACGTGTTTAATATTATATTCGGTCAGTGAATAACACTATTACTGTACATCTATGCAAATATTTCGTTTCATTATTCGTTTCCCTGGCTGAGGTGGCTCAGGGCATCAATTAATGTTACTGCACTGCCTCTGACCAGGAGGTTCTTGGGTTCGAGTCCCGACGTGGTGGCAGGGTTTTAGACACTAGCTACATAGCAAGGTCAAATTCTGCAACTGTCTGGAGGAGAATTCTAGAAGTCGGCTGCTCTGATCGGTAGTTTTCCGTGTTTTTTCCATTCAACCGGAGAATGCTCGAGCAGTACCCTAACAAAAGAGCCACGGGCCGCGCGCTATCTTTTCTTCCTTCTTTCTGCCATATCCTCACCTCCTTACTTACACACACGTACATGCACTACACCACCACACATGACGAGTGATCAATCGGACGCTTAGAGCGTGTCCTGGCTGGTGAAGTGCCCCTCTGGTGAGAGAGAACTGATTGGGGAAAACCCTAATCGATAGATCCCCTCATACAGCGGGGGAAGATCATCGCCACGTACCGCGATTAAAACAGGCACTATTCTGATGGGACTAATGACGTTAGCAGTTGACGCGCTCGGAAACACCAATCAATCAATCAATCAATCAATCAATCAATCAATCAATCAACAATAAAGAGAACATTTCGTCCACGCCTGCCGTGAGTGCGGCGCAAACGGCTGAGCATGTGCGAACGGCAGGAACCAGCGAGACCCCAACCTCTTCACTTGAGAGATTGGAGCGTTTTGGTGAAACGATTTCCTGCGCGCCACGCATGCATTTTCCACGAATCTTTCAAAAGTCCCTTGAAGACCTTTTCAAGAATCCTTCCCGACTGACCGCTTTCATTCCAAGTAAGAACAGACGTTTAATTGACTTATTTATTAATATTTTAAATTTCGGGCATGTCAAGTGATGTTGTCTTTGTCCCGTAAGTGTAGTGCTTTTCATCACGGCAGTGGCGGTGATAGTCCCCCCCACCTCATAGATGGCCGAGAAAGACGTCGACTTGTGGGGATTGTCCCGGCAGGACCCCGCTGGTAGGAGATAGCAGTGTGGAAAAAATCTGCAAACCGCGACGGGTAGGTCGGCGCCGGGTCTCACCATCCGGCCGGGGAAGATCACCGCCACCTTCCGAGGGAAAAAAAATTGCGCTACCCTTACGGGAATCACTGCTTTGGCAGTTGACGCGTCCGGAATCCCTCATCAGTCATCCGATGAACGTCAAGCTGTGTGCGTGTGCTCGCAGGGCGCTGCAGGGCCCCGGGTGCGAGCGGCGGCCGCGGCGGCGCCTGCTGCTGGGCTACTCGGCGTACGCGTGGGGCGGCGCGGCGGCGGCGGCGGGCGTCACGGCGGCGCTGGACGCGGCCTCGTCCCGCCTCCCGCGCTCCCTGCCGCGCCCCAACATCGCCGTCACGCACTGCTGGTTCGACGGTCAGCCCCCCTTCACTTGTCGCTGCTATCGAAATCAGCTCAATGTACAAAATTGAGATGTTTTGTTAGGTTTTGCGGCTCCCGGACTTGAGGAGCTATAAATCCAGGTGGCAAATCATTTAGTTTGAAACCAGCTTATTACTATGGAACAATGTGGCGAGAACGTATGTTGTTCATAATACCTTTTTATGTGGATATTCAAAATATTTGTTTCAATGGAATGGGTTCTTTTTAATCGCATTTGTCACCCTATTGCCCAAGTAAAGATCTCGTTTTCGTCCCTTACAGCAAATGAATATTACAAATAAATCGTCATTGGGAAGATAATTTCTAGTAATTTTGAAAGTCATTCTTTTTGTACCGTAAGATTTCAAATGTTGTTTGTACATTCAATTGTTTTTCCTCTCTCGCGGGCGTTTGATCATTTCAGAAAGGGTGCCCCCCCGATCCTTAAAGCCTGAGTTTCGAGGTTCCGCCAACGAATAAAGTTACTTAGGCCATAATAAACAAAATGACACCATTTGAGATGTATATTGCATTTTTGGTGAAGTTCCTCTTGAGAACTCCTTTGAAAAAAAACTGGTGAGACACACATAGTCTCGAATTCTATAAGGAACTAAATTGACTAATTCAGTTTTTGTGCGATTTAATTGTACGGGTCTACGTTTGAATATTTGTTAATAAACAATTAAAAATATATTTTTTCTTTCTCGTATACGTACGTAATACGTATAATACGTAATAATGTACGTAGTATAGAGAAAATTATTTAATGCTGCAGAAAATCAATTTCGAGATTTCAACGTAAATAAACGTTTTGGGGGTCCCCTAACACCGAAAAAATGTTTTTTTCAAACTGTTCATCTCTCTGTCCGACCGACTGGCAGTCTGTCTGTGAACAACACTATCATCTAAACTACAAGAAGAAATTTTGCGAAAACAAATGTTCTCCGGTCACCCTGAACTGTCTCAAAGCACTGCGATTTTGAAAAATAATTCTTAAAATATTGGGAGATTTTCATATGAATCCCATTAAACATTTTCAAAATTTTCTCCAACATGGCTCCAATTTTTTCTTTAAATGCCTGGCAACAAAAGAGAGAATTACACGTACACAGAAGGCGTATCTCCAATTTTCACAATGAACTGAAATTTTAAAAATTGCGAACTTATTTCGTCGTCTTCATACAACTACAATATTCAGGATAAAATATTTTTACTTCAAATAAAAAGTGTTTTCACAATTAATTTCATGAATAAATGAAGTTTTTACCAATTGTGAGTGAAATTTGAGCAATAGTAATAAATATTACTCAATATTTTTGCAAAAATCTGCTAGAAATTTTGGATTTATACTTTTTGTGCGGATAATAATAAATTGACTTTATAACAAGGCAATAACGCCATTTTGATATATTCTTTTGATTGTTTAAAAAGTAAACCAATTTAATTGTTTCGGTACATCCTACTATTTACATTACTGATGTTTTAATAAATTATTGCATATGTAAGTATATGGGATTCACATTATGTTTTATGAACCTTTTTGAAAAGAAAACTTTTTTGCGAAAAAGAATTCAAAATTTAACATTTTCATAAACCCTCAAACGTCGTCGTTTTCAAAAAGACTCCATTTTTTCAATGAATTTTTTATATAAAACAGCTGTCACTCATTTTTGATATTCTTAAAGTTGTATTCAAGTAATAGGGGAATGAAATTTTGAGAAAATAAAAGAAAAAATCTAATGTACTTTATGTATGAATAGGTGAAAGAGGCGGGAAATAGGGTGGTGAAAATATGAAAATATAAACCTCACTGAACAGAATAGAATAGGAAGTTATCTAGTTCGAGAAAGTCTGTGTCATTCTGTAGCACCATTGGTTTTCTTATGCTCTCTATAATGTCTACATTATTCAATGTACAGTTCAGAGCCTGGCCGTACAAAGCGAGAAATATTTTCTAGGATCTCTGTAGTCCATAAACAAAATAATCTGCGAAGGGATGGGTCAGAAAGCCGGCAGAGATGGCACAAATGCAGCTTTAGCAATGCCTCTAACCGGTAGGTCCTAGCGTGAAGAGTACCGCCGATGGCAGGATTTAAGGTGAGGTCAGTCGCTGTCTGAAGGTGAATTCTGGCGGTAGGCTGCTCTAATTAATGGATACGTGATTCTGCTCCTTCTTCGATGAAATGCAGTTAAATGACGCAGCAGTAGTCTAACAATCGAGTCCCGAACCGCGCGCTATCTTTCTTTCCTTTCCCTCTCCTGTCCTCTTACACACACACGAACTTGCATGCATTACACTCTCACACGTGTGGGGAAATCAGTTGGGTGCTGGAGCTTAGAGGATCTAGAGAATGGGAGAGGGGAAGGTATCTGGAAGAGAAACATCGTGAGACGTGTAGCTCGTTGCAGGATTTCGCGTTGAAGAGCAGGGAGAACACCGCCATCTCCCGAGATATAATATGATGAGACGAATGACCAAAGAGAAATACTCCATTATATATGGTCTTGAATTAATTAAATGATCAATCTTGAATGCATTTATATTTTGATATTTATTTCACCATCTTCAAGGGTGCAAAACATTACAACATAATTTATCAAATACTAAGTTACCTTTTTAATATCAATTCTATTATTAATTTCTGTATACTGAGGTGAATTGATAATAAACTTTTTTTAAGAGACAAAGGAAAGCCAAAATATGACAATAATTCCTCAGTACCCCATACGTAGCAAAGATGTAAGCTTGCTAAGTGTGATAAAGCTCCACAACTTTAAGTACAATTGCGCAAAAAGTAGTGGATAAGAAGCTTTCCTCGCCTTGTGGTATGGTCAGCCTTCTCCGCCAGAAAATGTATTATTTCATCCCAACTATCAGAAGGAAATCGGAAAGGCGGTCTTACCTACCCTGACTCTAATCTTCATAGAGTGCTGAAATGACTTCAGAATAGCGAGGATCTTGAAAGTCATGAACGACTATCTTCACCGATGAACGACTATGCTTCTGTCAACCATTCCTACGCGAATGAGCGAGTTAATCACCTTTCCCAAATGGTTTTTTGAGGGTCAACTATTCCTTCAAGCGAGCATTGGTAAGGCACGCTTTGCAATGCCTTTTTATGCAAGTCCAAAACTCGAAGATTTTTTTTTCGACGTCGTTGAGCTTGAGATTTGCCCATTCTATTTAATTCAATTATGTAGTTTGTAGTCATTTAGGAAGTGAAGAATCACCAAAACACAAGATTTCTTTTTTTCATGACTAACCGTAAAAAAATATTGAAAGTT